ATGATGATACGGTATTGAGGTGTTAGGTTTTCGCAATTGTTACACATTGAAATTGAACTTTTAAAGAGCCAGAAACGTTGAATGGTTCGTAAAAACGATTTTGCTTTTATGATACCAAGAGACGGGACTAATAAGTCACGCGCTTATGGTAAGCAACGCGCCTGTCTTTTGCAAAATTTGAAGGAAGCTGCCACTGCGCACCTCACCCTGAGACAAGTTAACAAATCCCATGTGCCGTCCTTCTCTGGACGAACTTTTCACAAGGACCTTCTACTGCTACTTATACTTCACTATCGCAACACTGCTATTCAAGTATGCCCGTTATATAGGGCCGATTTATGATCTATGATTGACTACGTGGGGTGATACCTAAATGTCTACTGCTACCGGCTGCGAATAAATAGTTCCGTTTCCGATGCCGATTTGGTTATAACGTTATTTTTAATTTGGTTTAATAAATATTCATTAACACTGAATTCTAAAAGTTTTTTGAAATTTCGTAGTTATAATGATAATGAGTCAAGTTGTAAAGTAACTATGTGGCCGCGTGTCCCTTAACGTGCGCGTCCGCACTCTAGTACGATTAGCTGCTAATGAGTCACACCGGATTTACATACTTGGAAAAAAAACCAAGGCTGAACTTAATGGGAGACTTTCTGATAAGGCTTGTTTTAAGAAATAAATTATTATAGTAAAGTATGTTACATCCAATACAATACTGCGTAATTTCCTCAAGATTAATCCAGTTGATAAAGTATTTAAAGACCTATTTTATTTATAACAAATTGAACGAGCAATACAAAACAATTTATCAGAATTGTGGTAGACAATAACAATCGTTCAGCGTTTACCCAAAGCGTTTCCTGTAGAGTAAGCAATTACTTAAGTGGGCCAGCACCAGGTCGGTCGTTACCTCCAATATTTTTACACATATAGATAAAGAGAAGCAGGAGTCACTTCCTGCCCTCGTAAAACGCATTCATCATCAACTGTTGATATCGGAGGCGATAAGTGTCAACTTTGTTATCTTAGTAAGTCGTAATGATCGCTGCATTGTACATAGTTTCCAATATCCGGTTCTATTTGTGTATATACCAAAGGAGTTTTAAGTACCCCATAAAATTATTTTCATGCCTTTAATTTATGGTTACAAGATTTCATTGGCAATTCCTGTGATTTTTTTCTTTAATCTTGTTTTTGGCCTGTGACACATATATCCCCTGATTGAAATTGGTTTTTTATAGCCACATTTCATCAAATGTAGCACATCATAGCGTTTATCACAAAATTTACTTAGTGGAGATTCCGCTGTGTATTAGATGATCAAACTTATTTAAAGGAATATGACCGAAATGAAATCTGAATGCCAAAAGTAATGGATGTCTACTGTGCTCTTGAACTAGGGCTTTTGTGGTGGGCACTATTCGACTGTTTTTTTCCAAATTCTTTTCTCATTTTCACTATAAATCTTACTCCACTTGCCCATATTTAGGTTTTTTACAAATTTCTGTAGCAAGAGGTATACATGATGGTTCGACGACCCTATCGATTGCTTCGCTTGCTAATTTATCTGCTATTTCATTGCCTTCCAGCCCGATGTTTGATGGTATCCATTGCAGTTTGACACACACATTTTTAGGCAGTAAATTAACTATTAATCTCAAAGATTCGTATGCTATAGGCATACCTTGGCTCCACAAAACACACATTGCTGTGTTTTTATAAGTGGTTCAAACGGTAATACCATTGTAGCTTCTGTAACTTGTCTGTCAGTATAATACTGAAGGGTTGTTAATACGATGAAAACACGTGTGAAAGCGGGAACCAGAATGTCTCATGTCACCGCTTTCTAACTTCTAAACGTTGCTGTCAAATCGTCACTTCGCTAATGGGGATCTGTCGTCGAGTCGACCCCCTTAAACTCTCGTTTCCTGGATTCCAAATGTCATTCTGGTTATTTCGAGACGGACGCAAGTTTAAGCGTTGTAATTTTGATCCCTGACGTGAGTGTCCGTTCGATGATTTAAGTCGAATTACGTTTTCGAGTTGCCACAAAATTATCAATTTCGAACAGGTTTTCTTACTTAATTATTAAATACTTCCTTGACAATAATTTTCAGTTTTTGCTCAAATTTTGTTGTTTATAAGGGAGGTGCGAACAATAACTTCTCAATGTATGTAACTAAACACAAAAATTGACAAAAAACCTATGGAAGTATACTTAACTCGTCACTGAACATTGACAGCTGACGGTGTTTACTTTCGTCAAGGATACGAGGTGTCAGTAGCTCAAGATCGCGTGTGAAACAAGGGGTCCACTTAAAAAGAGATTAGGTTAAAAAACACTTGATTGAAGTTAGAATGGAGTTAGGGGCGTAGGCGGACAGATGTGTTTCTCTGGACCCCTCGTCGAGATGGCCGTAGTTTAGTTTAACTATGAGTTTCCGCTACACGACGGGTTAGCCGGTGACACAGTGGATAAGAATCATCGTGTGATACGGGCAAATAATAATTTCTTCAACTTCTTAAGAGGACATGAATAAATTCATGTTAATTTTGGGAGCCACGCCTATCACGTTTTTACTCGTACAATTGTTAATGACGATCCATTTGTAATTTTTATGAGAGTCATAGTTCTTCTCTGACTAAAAGTCTAGAAATCTTTTATCGAAACGTTTCGCAATACTTTAGTATTAGACGAAGAAAAGGGCAAAATTATATTTTAGTGTAACATTTCGAGGAAGCAATGAATAACAGATGTTTCCTCTACTTTAGATGTGTTGTATTTTCATATTAAATGGATCTCCATTCGTCTGAAACGCGGAAGGGGCTCCTGCGCACGAATTTTTCACATCTTTGTCACTTGAGCTTCTGGTATAGGTATTGATGATGCTGTTCTTCTCACAGGAACTCACTAATGTGTATCATAAATTGTTTTGAGTTTGAGATTCGAAATATCTTTCCAACTCTCTTTCTATGCATAGGATTAGTCAGAATAAATTTATTATTAAGAACTTTATATGACTAATTTAAAGGACGCGTTGATTAAACATTAATATCTGCGTGTCGTTTGGGTTCTCAGGTTTCTCTCAGAGAAAATTTTAAGGAGACTGTGGTGTCAAGACTCATCAGATCACACTACATTTACACAAATATTTTGTATTCCCGTAAAAATATACATAATTTTATTAAGAAATAAGATATCCATAATATTAACCTTAGAACTAAGTCCAAACTCAATGGTTCCACGATTTGGTTTAACTAAGATAAACCATTATTTTATGTGGAACTGTATAAGATTTTACAATAAAATTCCGGAGCATATATTAAGATTATCATTTCCTAAGTTTAAAACTTATATTAAAAGTATTTTTATTGAAAAGTTATATTACAAAATTAAAGAGTATGTGTTAGATAAAGATGTATGGAAAGACAACATGAGTCTAGATTCCACACAATTATGATTCAAAGTGTATTTATGTATTTATTCCATAGCATTTAAGTTTATTTGAAAAGAGCAATCCCGAGAGTGTCTTGCTTGTTCTTCTCAAGGAGGTCAGCGTAGTGAATGAGCAGTAGCTTAAAAAAGACGTTTTCAAATGTAAAAATTTTACCTATTGAATAAATGATGATTTGACTAGACTGGATTTGACTAACTTTTGTCTTTTTCCTTTTTTTCAGAATTTTTTATTTTACATTGAAATGTTTTATTTCAAGTCTTTCTGAAACATTCATCATTGGGCGTTGTGTTATCGCATATCATTTAGGTCACATTTGGTCACGTGACGCGTGCCAATGGGACTTAAAAACCCGCGGAAGTTGAGGCTGATCTGTACACCGCGACACTTGTATCTCCTCCCATATCCTGCGAACGGAAGCGCGCGGAAGTTGCGTCATCGCCGGAAATAGACGCCCTCTGTGTCAGCAATGTCGTCACCGCTGCGCCGGCGACGCTAAAACACAAATTACTGCACTAATCGCTGTTTTGAACTTAAACCTTACTTAAACTTTAATTCAGGAAATGACGGTCATCAAACAATTTCTTTTCTAAATTATTACGTGCTCTGTATTTAATATTGTCCCTCCCCAAACGCGAGTTACAAATCACTTGCAACAAAAAAGTAATGGAATCGATCTATCTCAGTAGTAGTTATCTTTAGAAATGTAATTATTTTCGAACGGAAACAGCTCTCAGATAATGCTGCAATTTATCCTGCTCTACGTGTATCCGCCGGTCTTGTCAGCCAACGCGGCCCAGCTCGCGACCCGCGGCGTGCCCTTTCTTTCGGCGACGACATCGTAAATATTTTTATTGTATCAAGCTGCTTGCCGGTGAGCTCGGAAATAAAGCCAAGAGTTCTACGTAAACATCCACTTTGCCACTTATATATACGACCGAATCGAACAGTTAATCAACGACAGGAAGATGTAAACCTCGCGCCCATATTTTAATCCAATCAAAATATGTTAATGCAGAGCGGACTCAACTGCTGAATCAATTTGCCCCCGCGCAATTTATGACTGTGTTCCACTATTAACTGGCAATTCGGTGGCTTCGATTATTTCGCGTAAAATGTGCGGGCGACTCCCGCATCCGGTGATTACGTCTGGCGCATAATTTGTGATGCGCCTGCGCCGACCAAACAGCCTACGCTTGATTTTTGTTAGATAAAAAAATGGAGGGTTCGCCGTGGTCTGCCAGCAGACGGCAGCGCAGTTCGCTTATTTGTTGTTTGTTTTTACCGCCGACACTTTTGCACCTGCGCACATTTTATTTTTTATGCTGGTACCCTCCGGTGCATCTAAATGGGATTTCGCTTATCCTTTTGTTTTTGGCTCGTATGAGTCTTGATTATTTCCTCTTTCACTGCAGCCGTAGGAAAACTAAATCAATGGATCAATAAACAAAAGTAGAGACTCTGTAAAATGGATATAGAATAAATAAGACTGCTTTTGAATATACACGAATGAATGCTAATTATAGATTGCATTTGTTGCAGGTTCAGAGGGTATCGGTGGCATCGCGGAGCGGCTGCCGGCGACCGGATGTGCCACTGGCGACATAATGTGGCTACTTGATGAGCCCAATCAACCTTATGAAGGTGATTTACTCAGTTAGAATGCACTTATTTATTATTGCAGACCACAACGAGACAGAATTTGTCGATTTGTCCCAAGAATACTTTCTATAAATACTAATGAAATAGCATGATATAGGAAATGAAACTATTTTGTCGCATCTAAATCGCTTTTATTTGTTTTTTCAAACAACCCCGTTGGGTAGGAACGTTTTCCTCACCCGTCACCATGTGTCATGGAAAGGACTCGAAACATAGGTTTGTTTTGAAAAACGCGATTTAGACCCGAAAAAATAGTTTCATTTCCTATGTGTAACAATCGCGTAAACCTAAGAACTCGATAAGTAGTATGATAGTCCATGTTTGATTTATTCATATTATGCATTTTTCCATTACAGATTGCGAGCAATTACTTTGCTTTCGATACTACAATGGTGAAGGGGAAGAGTGTGTGGCAGAGTCCTCTACTCTGCCGCCGCGATTCAAGGTTGACCTCAAGAAACTGCCACTTCGTCTTAAAGAAGGCATCTCTAGGAAACGAAGCGGCGATCAGGTCTCGCCTTTCTCATACAACAACGAGAGCTTCGAAATGAACTCGGAGAATCCACCAAGAATCGAGTTCGTTCCCGGCACGAGTCAAGAAATCAAACACCTTAGTGAAAATGTCAACAAATGCTCAATTAGTGTTTTAGAAAATAACGGGAACAATGTGAGTCTCGAAGAAGCAAAATGTGATCCTAGCAAATTTCTAGTTAGTAATAGAAATAAAGAATCTCGTGTAAATAGTGAATCTCAAAGTGCTACTGATTGTAAACCAACGTCATCGGGTGTAAAGAAAAAATATCCTCCACCAGTGGACACTGGCGGCGGTCAAGGGCTTAATGGTGTCAAGAAAAAAGCCAAAGCTAACAGCGGCTTCGATTCTCCCGCATCTCCGGGCACAGAGTACTATAAAATATGGTCACCAAAGAATCCATGCAAAATAATGAAGTTCGTATACGACGTAGAAGGTGCGAACATGCCAAGTGATGCAGAAAAATCGCCAGTACCGCCTTTACCGCCGAGACAATCGCACAAACCGCTCGAAAGAATGCACGCATTATCTCCACCGCAGGTCCCAAGGCATCGAAAGCCAAAAAAACTGACCAAACCCGAAGATGCCTTCACTTTTGAATTGATAGACACAGATGAACAATTTTTTACGGAGAAGAATATCACAAATTCTTCGGCTTTGCAAGGTGGAATCAATGATTTTAAACCCGGAGAATTTTACTCAGGGAACCAGGTGGCAATGTCTTCGACGGCCAGTTTTTGGAGAGGTGGTCAAAACGTCGCTCCCTTAGCGACACCAGAAACAGACGGCAGCTTATGTGAATCTACGATCACTTCCATGAAAGTAGCTAGGTTAACTGAAGAAAAGAAAAAAGATGTACCTGATGGCTCACCTAGTATTAGTAGGAATAAGATTATGTTTATTAAAGATATTGGACCTGATAATTATATAACAACTACGTTTGCCAGGAAAGACACGGTAGCTCATCCAACGGACACTGTTGACGGTGTCAATCTTACGCCAAATCACTCGTCTGAGGAGAAGGCTCAGAATACATTTTTGAATGATATTAGTAATCATTCGGAGTTCGAAGACGACAACAAAAATCAAATTGAGGAAAAGGAAATCTCAACATTGAAAGGTCACAAACCATTAACAAGGCAAAATTCCGGTCGTGCGAATACACCAACAATGATGACAGCATTTTTAAACTCGTCGCATATTGATTCAACAAACAGAGAAACGGATAACAACAGTTCAAATGCGCCTAGTTCGTGCAATTCTTCGCATTCGGGGTCACCAGTGGAAGAAAGCAAGACTTTACCTAGTGTAGGTACTATGATAATGAATAGAAAATATTCTAGTGACACGTTGACGCCTAAACATTCCAGCTTGCCACGTCATTTACTGAAGAATTTGGGATGTGAAAGCACCCCGAAACACTCCCCTCATAAGACTAACAATGATAGTCCTGTGAGACCACATCCAAGGGTTCTAACTCGAGTAGCAGCGTTAGCTGGATCAGCTATGCCACAGTGTCCGCCAACACCAACCCACCATGCAAGGAGACCTCGGCCATTGCCACCTCCAGATCTACACCCACCTCCTATACAAAACGCTGAGAGCAGGGAGAATTTCGAAATGGTTGAATTCACAAGCGAGTTAAGAACGTCTGAGATTAGATCTCCAAATCTGGAATTTGTGAACAGCAACCATTTCACGATAGTGCATCCGGGGCCTCCTGATGATGTTGTTTTACGAAGGCCAAGACCGATTGAAGATAACGACGATAATGACAACGCTGTGGCGTCGCCAACTCCTCTGAGGCACATGGCGGGGATCAGATTGCCGTCAATACCTGAGAGGGCGTCGCGACAAATGGCGTTGACGGGAGATTTTCCTGCCAATATGATTGGCGGGATCATCGAATGCGAAGAACCTTTGCCTGCAGGTTAGTAGACTGCAAAAAACTACTAAATACTGTTTCTGAAAATCATACCTGAGTATTGTGAAATCAATAATTGCTTCTTTTCAGGATGGGAAGCGCGAATGGACAGCCACGGTCGAGTGTTCTACATCGATCACATCAATCGAACGACAACGTGGCAAAGGCCTAGTGCTAATGGCACCACTCCTCGGTCACCAGCTCCTGAAGTGCAAAGAAGGCAGTTGGACCGAAGGTAAACAGAGTGATTGGAAGGAGTTCAAAGAGTTTAGGAGTTCAAAAGCGCAAGTTCTACAGCAATATGTCCTTGGTTCTATGGTTGTGGCTTTAATTCTATCTTCAACTTTTGTGTCATCGTCCTGTTCATAGCAACTTCTCTGTCTTATTGTATGGTTACATGAACTAAGTACGTTAATAAAATATTACAGGTATCAATCTATCCGACGCACAATGACGCGCACGCAGCTGGCGGAGGAAGAGCGCGACGCGTGCGCCTCCCCGCCGCCCGCCGCCTCTACGTCCCGCGCGCCCGCGCCAGACGCGCCGCACGCGCCGCACCCCGCCGCGGAGTTCTTGGCCCGACCCGACTTCTACTCCATATTGCACATGAATCAGGTAAGTAATACCAAAAATAAAAGAACATAAGTACTTATTCGATAATAAATTATGTAAAAAATAAACTCTCAATTTAGCCGTTAGAAAGACCAGACTGAAATAATTTATTTGAAATATCGTCATAGTCAAGTTGGAAGTACTACGTATGCTGACACTTGACTCGCGCTGTTAACTATTTATCGTTTTTTTTAAGAATCAGGACAACAGCAAAGATGCAGTGATTGTAAAACTTTTCCTTCAGATATCAAATTATTATTTTTTATTAAATTGAGAATCTTTAAATTGTTTGAGAATTTTGTTTCATAGTTATTATTCAATTGTTTTGCTTACAAAAAGAGCCAATGAAATACCGCCTGATACAGACTCAAAATTTCCTTCTGTTTAATGCTAAAAAAAACGAAGTTTGGTCACAATTATTGAAACTGAGCGATGTTCTGGGTAATCATTTTAGCTTATTATAAAAATTGGAACTTTGTTTTATTTATTAATACAAAGATCGAATACTTAGAAAAAATCTTTCGATCCGGCTGGCTGAGTGAAGAAATACATTTCTCACAGATGGAGCTACTACAAAAGTCGTTAAAAACTAAAAAGAAAGCTCTTCAAAAAGTACAGAAAAATTCGTAATGTACGCTAGTTTATTCCGTGGCTTAGATCGTATTGCGTCTGGCAAGGTTTGTTGGAAGAATATAAGTATTCGATTTTTGTATTAATAATTATAACAAACTAGTGGAGTAATTTCACAAAAATAATTGAATATCGTGGTGATCAAACGTCAATAAGCTTAAAAATTACAATAGGGTCTTTGTTTTCCCGCGTTTATTTCTGTCATCTATTCGGACAATACAATGCAGAACAAATTTGTCATTCCAGGAAGCGTCGTCCCTCTACAACGGCAACTCAACGCTCAAGCACATGATCTCAAAAATCCGCCGCGACACGGCGTCATTCGAGCGGTACCAGCACAACCGCGATCTGGTCGCGCTCGTCAACATGTTCAGTGAGACTGACAGAGATCTACCGCTGGGATGGGATACGAAGCTCGATCGGAATGGAAAGGTAGGGTATAGTTGATTAGCGGGTTCTTTTATGGTGGACATAAGATATAACATATTGTAAACCTCGCATAATACCATGTAAACAAAGTGTTTGTTAACAA